TATTTCCCTCTGGTGTAATTAAAAGATAAATAATAATAACAAATAAAATTAAATAAATCTTTAAAAATTGTTTAATTGGAAAAATCAATACATTATGAACAAAAAGCTTAAGGAACAAAAAGCACTGGACTAATGATGTGTCATTTATATTCTGTTTAAAAACATATTAGTTGAAAATGTACATGAACTATATGATTTTAAGCTTCTTTTAATTAACTTTTTTTAGTTTCTACTGTAGGATGCCCTCACTCACTGGTTCTTTTGTTGTTTAATTTTTACCCAAGGGCTTATGCACTTGCCCATTCTGTGGAAAGTAAGGAAGCACTCCCCATCGGGCATAGGCACACCGGGATTCCTTTTCTTCCATTTCTCTCTCCTTAGGGGATTTTGGGCAAGAATGGCTCATGGCACTCAGTGTGTTGTTTTTCAGGCCTCTGGCTTGGGACTGCGTGTTAGGCTTGTGGAATCCAGTCTCTTTAACCAGAAGGGTTAAGGGAATAGCCCCCAAAACTATTTCTCATATGTCAAGAATGACGTATAAAGGTTGATTGGGAAGTCTTTTTTTCTTTAGAATTTTTGCCATAGGGCACATACGCTTACTAGAGAGAGAGAGAGAGGGAGACAGACAGAGACAGAGAAAATGAGATGACCATGCGACAGCCCTACTCCATTCTCCTCTTGAGATTTTGAGCATGTGCATACATGCACCCTGTGTGGTTTTCAAGTCGCCAGATCTGGGACTTGAACCTTGGTTAACCATGTGGGAGTCCAGCGCCTTAACCACCACACCACCTGCTGGCCCCAGGTTAGGAATTCTTTGTAAGAAGAGAACCCTGGTGGCTGTTAGACAGTGGAGTGAAGAGACACGAGAAGTCAGTCACTAAGGAAAGAAACTGTGGTAGTTAAGCTGAGCTGGCAAGTATTGATTGCTGGGTTTGTAGGGATGGACTGGGGCATAGCAAGCAGACAGTGTAACTGGGCTCTATTGGATTGAGTGGGTAGAGCAGGTAGGGAAGGTTTATATCCAAGAAACTGCTCATGGTTTTTTGGTTTTTTTTTTAATCGTCATCATTATTTTTTTTTAATTTAACTTTATTTATTTTAATTTGACCATAGAAGGACAGAGTGAGAACGAGAGAGAGGGAAAGTGAGAAAGTAAGCTACCAGGCTGAGACTCAAACCACAGTTGGCCATGTGGGAGTCCAGCACCCTTAACCACTGTGCCACCTGCCAGCCCTGATACCTTTCATGTTTCTAACAGGAGAGTGATGCCGTTTAAAAAAGAGGGGGAGGGGAGGACATGCAGACTAGATGGTATCATGTTGTTAAAAACATACTCCGAGAGGCTGGCCCACATGCTGGGGTTTCTGGTTCTTATCTGGAGACCTTCCTGTGTACGCTGGGCACCATTTGCTCATGCTCTGAGGCTGTCTGGAGCTGTGGATAGATTGTGATAGATCCCAGGGTGCGTGCACGCGCTCTCTCTCTCTCTCTTTTAAGGTTTTTGCCATAGGACTTGTGTGTTCGTTGGTGAGAGACAGAAAGAGGAAAAGTGAGAAACGATCCCCCAGGTGAATAGCCACACTGCAGTCCCTTCTCCATTATCCTCTCGGGATTCTGGGCACACACACACACACACACACACACACACACACACACACTGGTGTGATTTTTAAACTGTCAGGACTGGGGCTCACACTGCAGTCAGCTATGTGGGAATCCAGCACCTTGAGCATCACACCACCTTCTGACTTGCCTTTGGGGGGTGTGGGGGGGGGGCAGGTCACAGATTGTGTACCAGCCAGATAGATGGAGTGGGAGGAGAAAGAGAGAAAGCACCTTTTCATGGGTTGTGGTCACACCTCAGTCCCTTCTGTTTCTCCATCCTGTCGAGATTTCCGGATATACACACGTGCCTTGCATGTTTTCTAAGCAGCCAGATCTGGGATTCCAGCCATACCGTGGGCAGTGTGGGATTTGGCTCCCTTGACCACTAGGTCACTGGTCTTCTCAGTCTCTTTTTCTTTTTCTTTTCCTTTCCTTTCCTTTCTTTTTCCTTTTTCCTTTCCTTTCCTGAGAGGTTTTTGCTATAGGGCTCATGAGCTTGCCAGAAAGACAGAGACAGACAGAAAGCAAGAAATCACCCACCAGGGGGATGGCCACACTGCAATCCCTTCTCCTCCATTCTCCTCTCGGGATCTTGGGCACACACGCACACTCACCCGGTGTGAGTTTAAGCCACTGGATCCGGGACTTAAACTGCAGTTGACTACATGGGAGTCCAGAGACATAGCCATTATGCCCACTGCTGGAACCTTTTTCTTCTTCTTCTTTTTTTTTTAAATTTAAGAACTATTTATTTATCATCATCATCATCTAATTTGCTGTAAGGCGCACAGACTTGCCAGAGAGAGAGTGAGAGTGCACATGGCACCTGGTCCAGGGTTCAAACTATGGTGAATCAGGTGGGAGACCAGCGCCTTAACCACCATACCACCTGCTGGCCCCTCTCAATCTCTCTTAATCATAGAAGTGAAAAAGAAAAGAAAAAAAATAAATAAAAGATTTGAGATTCATGTATACAAGCGGGCTTGAAGGCTATATTGAGATCTTTTGGGATTGTTGAGTTGAGGCTGACAAAGGAATTGGTTGACTGCTGTTGACTTGTCCAACACCACATATACTCATCTGCTGTATTTAGGAGCTTTGAATTTTCACACATAAGTTCCTTTGTTTTCAGAAGCATTTTACAGATGAGTCCTCTTCACAATTAAAAGTAGTTTAGCGGGACCAGCAGTTAGCGTAATGGCTATGTTGCTGGACTCCCATGTAGTCGACCGTGGTTCAAGTCCGAGACCCGGTGGCTTAAACTCACGCCGGGCACATGTGCGTGCGTGCCCAATATCCCAAGAGGAGAAGGGATTGCGTGGCCATCCCCCCTGGGGGTGATTTCTCGCTTTCTGTCTCTGTCTTTCTGGCGAGCGCATGTGCCCTATGACGAAAACCTCTCAAAAAAAAGAAAGTAGTTTAGCATTCAGCTTTGGTGTCTTCCTGGTGCTGAAATAGAGCCTGAAGTGATAGTGAAAGCTAGTGAGAAAATAACTTGATTTGTATCTGTTGAACAATTTTGCCTCCCATTCACCTTTGAGTTGGGATGCCTGTGGCACATTCTAATTGTGGACAGGGTTAGCATTGTGTAGAGCTCCATATTTGGAACTAAAGGGGCCCTTAACCCCTATGAACTTTAGACATAGCGAACACTGCAATTCCACGTCTGCATTTCCTAACATGGTTTTGCCTCATCAGAGTAGTATACTTTTTAAAGTATTGATCTGTTTAATTTTATTTATTATTATTTAGTTTGCTGTAAGGCACGTGTGCTTACCAGAAAGAGACAGAGATGGGGCCGGGGAGCAGGTGGCAGGTGGCGGGCAGGAGGGGAGTGAGAAAGCAAGCTACTGGGCCTGTGACTTGAACCATGGTTGGAGTTCAGCACCTTGAGCACCGTGTCGTCTGCAGTATAGTGCGTTGCCTGAGTAGTAGAGTATTTTGCCAGTACACTGTAGCTATATAGCCTTTGACAGTACTGGAGTGAGTTGATCTGTTCCTGATACAGATGAAGCTGACCTACAATTAAGGCTTTAGATTCTGGGTTGTGGTCAGTTCAACCAGTTTCCTTATTTGGCATTACCCATGAGGCTGGCTTGTACTGCCAATATAAAAAGAAGGGACTTGTTCCATTTTTGTATAGGAGGCATACTTAAATCCATGATCTTGAATGCAAAGAAAAAAGTATAGTTGAATGAAAAGAAGTATAATTATGAATTAGAAGAAGTATAGTTAGAAAGATCATTGGGTCAGGAATCAGCCTGCCTGGGTTTGAGTGTCATCTCTGACCCTAGCTTTCTGGTCTTGTACCAGACTTAACCATGCTGTGCTTCAGTTTCCTCGTTAGAATAATAGTACTGCTTCATTCCTGTTACCTCCCAAAAGTAGTTGTCTCACTTTTCTACCCTCATAAAGATAGAAACGTGTTCTTGTAGTTAACTGTCCTTAGTACTACCTCCTAGATGTTATTTCCTCACTTCACATCTTTAAAATAGTGGCTTTTCCCTCTTCCTGAGAAATTTGCCTTCTTTTTTTTTTAAAAAAAAAAAAAGAATTATTATTTTAATTTTATTCATTCATTCATTCATTTAATTTGACCAGAGAGAGATACAGAGGGCTGAGTGTGAGTGAGAAAGCAAGCCACCTGGTCCAGGACCCGAACTATGGTCAGCTCTGTGGTAGTGTCCAGCACCTTAACCACCATACCACCTGCTGGGCCCCATGAAATTTGCCTTCTAACAGTTTTCACACTTGGCCTGTCCCCTTTCAACTCTTTGACAAACTAAAACTTCAAACCACATTCTTCACCTGCTAGCAGTTTCTGATCTGTTCAGGGGTAAGTTTTGTTCTGTTTCGTTTTTAAATATAATTTTCTCTATTACAATTTTCTTAGTGTGAGTCAGCCATATAAATAATAGAAGTAAATGGAGCTTGGCAGTCTTAGCTAGTGTACTCTACGTAATAGAATGCTTATGATACTTTAGATGTTCTGAAAAACACTTGTATGTATCCTTATTAAAAAGAGCCTTGGAGCCCCTAGAAACCTAACTGTCACAGCCATGATTGGATGGGGGGTGGGGAGGGTGTCCCTTAGCTGTAGTACTTCCATATTTTGTATTAACAGTAATAATAATGATTTGCTTCATGACTTCCAAAAGGACTTTTTTGAAAATCTGGCTTTTTCCTTTCTCATCTGTGTCTTTGGGGGCTATTGATTTTATTATCTGGTGGTTTCTTTTTAGTAGAGAATTCCATATTTAAACACAGGCTTAAATCTGTTTTAATGAATTGTCTTATGTCAAGATGTGTTTTCTTTTTAAATTAGCACCCCTCCCACTTTTTTTAGGTGCACCAAATAAAAACCAACCATGATTTTTTTTTCTGTATTATAGGTCCTCTTCCTGATGGATGGGAACAAGCCATGACTCAGGATGGAGAAATTTACTATATAAACCATAAGAACAAGACCACCTCTTGGCTAGACCCAAGGCTTGACCCTCGTTTTGGTAAAGGTTCAACTCAAAACCTTTTTAGATATTTTTGATTACTCTTTTTTGTATGTGAATTTGGGAAAGGACATTTAAATAAAATTGCATTGCTTTGTAGTAAAAAATGACTCTGTCTACCCCCCTCCCCAACTTTTCCCAGTACCATTTTTATACCTCGTTTTTAAACTTGAAAAATTTAGGTTGAAATCAGCTTTTTTGGCGTGGCTTCTCACAGTGGGGTGGGGGGATACAGTGGCTCAACAACCAGAATTGCTGTTCCTGTTACATTTTGAGGGAGACACTGATGTTTAAAATGATCTTTCTAGCTGCCATAGTCGTAAGGCCATCAGGCAGTATCTCAAAGCCAGAATACTAGCGTTTATCAGCAACCTGGTATCTGCTTATGCTTAACTTCTGAAAGCCATGAGTACCATCCTGGGGGGGGTTTAAAAAACCTGTTACTCTAGATAAGGCTCAATGAAAGCATTCTCCCCTCTCCTTTTCTTAAAGTAAAGGTCCTTTTTTCTTCTTTTTTTTAGGAAATAGAAAGCAAGCCATATTTCCTTCCAAAGTACCTGAATAAAATCACTGTTTACTCAAGGGAATTCTCCCCTCCCAGTGCACATTTTGAGAAGGGTAGACAAGTCCTTCACTGCCTTTTTACCCATATTTTTTGTTTCTTCTATTGGGTTTTTGAGATGTTTTTTCAAAGCCATGGAAAATGAATCTAAAAAGGAGCAGATAATTGTGGTTTTGAAATTTTCGCCTTGGACTAGATGCAGCTAAATGAAAACAATGTGCAGATCACTGAGTAGGTCAGACTGCGGGACTCGGAACTTTGAAGCTTTACAGGGGTTGACCTAACAACAACTTTGGGGCCCTTACGGGAAAGAGGAATTAACTCTGTGAATGCCATCAAAACACAACCCTGGGGGGAAAAGAAAAAGAAAAACTATCCAGACCTGGTTGGGTAAAATAGCTTTCCTGCTAGAGACTTTCTGAACATTTCTTTTGTGTCCTCTGTATACCTTAAAAAAAAAAAAAATGAAATTTGGGTTTGCCCCAAACTGATTGACCGGTCAGTTCTATGGACTGATTGAACCTATTATTCAAGTAAAGTCAAAGGTGGGGTCAGGGCATAGGCTGTCATTTTGACAGATATCCGGTTTGGCTTAAATGCTTGCTTTTGAGCCTCAGGACCTGTTTGGGTATTGAAATGTAATGTGGCATGTTAATAATTCGCAACTTCAGGTTCTGTATAATACTTGAATAAGCCCTTGTGGTTGAAACAGGAAACTAAGTAAGGTAGAAAATTTAATAAAAGTTGCCATTTATGTGGACTGGAACTGGAACAGCCACGTTTCCTTAAATTATCTTAAATGAATTCAACTTTCTACATTTTGGAAATTGGAAAGAATGGTTCTGTGGATTTATTTCCCCCAGCAAGAGATTATGAAAGACGATGATGAACTCTTAACTAACTGTAGGGATCCAGGAATTAGAACAACGCCTTTCTCTCTCTCTCTCTTTTTTTTTTTTTCCTGTTTCTTTTAAGGAAGTGTTTTCATTTAAGACAGTGAAATAAAATGACTTTGCTGTGAGCTTAAGTAGACATGTTGATTCACACACTGGTTGGTCTTTTGCTTTAAGTGGGGGGAAAGTACTAAACAAAAAATTCCTCCCTTCCTACTTGCAACACATATGTACACACAAACATAAAATTAGATATGCCAAAAAACATTTTATAAAATTCTTAGTGCATTTAATTTCCCTTTTTGGGCCCACTGTGTATGTGTATTCCAGACAGGCTTGACAGCAGGCCAAAGCATTTTATTTTGTGGCCCGACTTTTAATCCGTTCCAGACCTTTTCAGTCAGAGAGCTCAAGTGTAACTGAAGGGGGGCAGGAAAGAAAAAGCGTGTGGGTTTCTCTGATCTGGAGTGACAGCAAATAGAGACAAGCTGTTAGCTGCTGGATTTGAAGTTCCCTTGAAATTGTAAGTTCTATATAGTGGATTATGTTTTATCTCTGCCAAAGAAATATAAACTGTCCTTTTCTTTCTGACCCTTCGAACCGTGCATACACAAGCAAATGGTGCTTGTGTAGGTGCTTGCTTTCATGGTGGGAAGTTTGCTTACTTTTATTCTCTAAATCTATATTCAGGTTATTTATCTAGTTATCTAGTTATTTATCTAGCTTAAATCAAGTAGACATGTCCTTTGGCATTTTAGATGGAAGGTACACATCTGTGTAAGCTTTCTAGTATTACCTCCATTAAAAACAGCACCTCCTTTTAATTCCCATTCTTTATGAGATATGCTGTAGACTAATTATATTTCAAATAATTATCAGTCCTTCACATGCCACTTGAAGTTAGTAAATCTAAATAATTGAAAATAGCAGGGCTGGCAGGTGGCATGGTGGTTAAGGGCACTGGACTCGCACATGGCTGACCGCTGTTTGAGTCCCAGACCTGGCAGCTTGCTTTCTCACTTGTCCTCTCGCTCGCTCACTTGGTCTCTCTCTCTCCTTCTCTCCCTTTCTTCCTCTCTTCCTCTCTGTCCCTCTCTGGGGAAAATAAATTAATTAAATAATTTAAAAATAAATAAATAAAGTTAAATAATTATTTTTTAAAAAAGAAAATTAAATAGCAATTTTTTGTGGATTAGTCTTTTTAAATTTTCGGTTGTTTCTTTAACTCTGCTTTTTTTTGGTTCTTTAACATTTAAAACTATCTTTGATATTTATATTGTAAACAATTTCTTAGTTATTTATACCAAATCAGGAAGTGATATCAATGGTAAGAGGGATGCACTGATATTTATTGAACTTTGAAAAAAGAGGGCTTTCCCCCATTTTTTTAAGGAACCATATAAAGAAATGTTTTTGTTAAAGAGAATAGATCCTTGAGTTTGAAGGCCATTAAACTATTTCATATAAACATATAAGAGACGTTTTTCCTGGATATTTTGTACTTGGTAAACATGAATCTCAATCTTAAATATTGCCTTGTACATTATAGAATAACTTGAATGTTTTCCAGTACAGTTAAAGGAAAACACAGTGAAATTATGATTCCTGTTCTTCAGAATGAAAAAAACAAATCTACCCTAAGACACTTGTCATTGAAGAGGTCATTTGTGTAATGTCATTTATTGTTCCTGTTGTTTACATTAAAAAGATGTATTGAAGTAGTGTTAACATCTGTGTTTTTGGAAAGAAGTGCTGATGGCACCACTGATATAAAAATCTGGGGTGTAAACAAAATATTCTGGAGCCAGGTATTTAGGGGAAAAATTATGTCTTGGAGTCTTAAAGGAAGCAATGAACAGTCTAGTGTGGCAAAAACAGAATTATCTTCTCATTCCTCACTAGAATTCTGTATACAGAAACTCTGCATGGAAATGTCAAAGGTAATTCAGTTGTTAATTTTGGTCCTCTGTTTCAGTGTTTCTCAAAATTTATCGTAGGTACACGCATACACCTATGTGTGTATAATATAATTCTTAAAATAAAAAAAGAATAAGTAAAATACGTGTGTGTGTATATTTATATATACATATATATAATTTATTAAAATAAGTCCCTAAAGCCAAAATTGATGTAGCACATCTTTTCAAGGTTAAATATTTTGCATTAACAACTAAGTATATATTAAAAATTTCAACTAGTGAAAGCCAGCAGGTGGCGTGGTGTTTGAGGCATCGGATTCCCACATGACTGACTACAGTTCGTGTCCCGGACCTTGGCATCTTGCTTTCTCATTCCCTCTCTCTTACACATGTGCCCTGTAGCAAATTAAAAAATAATAACAATGATAAATAGAATTAAATAATTATTTTTAAAAATTCAGCTATTGAGACATTCATTAACTTCTTCCCTTTAGATCACCCAATATTTCTGATAGATGTCATTACTAATATTTTCCTTCTGATGCAGATATATGTAAGAAATACCCAAAAGTCTGTCCTGGCAGCAATGAGGAAAAAAAGCACTGAAGACTGAAAACTAAATTTGTAGCTTCATTAATGGAGTAGAGTAAATGTCAGCGTCTCATTATTTGAATTTTATTGAAACAATTCTCTTGACATCCATGCATTTAAAAACGAGAGTTTTTTTTGTCTTTCTTACCATCTCTTTCAAATCTTTCCTGGTGATCCTAAATTGTCAGTCAGTACTTGATTGTGGAGTGTGTTAATTAACTACTTAGATAACAATGATAAATAGAATTAAATAATTATTTTTAAAAATTCAGCTATTGAGACATTCATTAACTTCTTCCCTTTAGATCACCCAATATTTCTGATAGATGTCATTACTAATATTTTCCTTCTGATGCAGATATATGTAAGAAATACCCAAAAGTCTGTCCTGGCAGCAATGAGGAAAAAAAGCACTGAAGACTGAAAACTAAATTTGTAGCTTCATTAATGGAGTAGAGTAAATGTCAGCGTCTCATTATTTGAATTTTATTGAAACAATTCTCTTGACATCCATGCATTTAAAAACGAGAGTTTTTTTTGTCTTTCTTACCATCTCTTTCAAATCTTTCCTGGTGATCCTAAATTGTCAGTCAGTACTTGATTGTGGAGTGTGTTAATTAACTACTTAGGATAGAAAGGAAAAGATGATGGTACAGTGTATTTTAGGTAAAAAGAACGGTTGGTGACTAAAAATTAACAGATAACCTGATAAAATTTGACATTGAAAAGAAATTTGGGATTCTCTAATTTTTATGAAAGGGATGATTCTCTGTAGTGTTCTGGGCACTGCAGGACATTTGACACCCTTTGCCCGCTAAATGCATACCCTGTCATTGTGACTCCACTTTTTTTTTTTTTTAAGTTAAAAATGTTGAATTGGAGAATACAGTTCAAAATCTTAGCTGCTCTGAGAT